AGCAGTAGTAGTAGTAGTAGTAGTAGTAGTAGTAGTAGTAGTAGTAGTAGTAGCAGTAGTAGTAGTACCAATAGCAGCAGCAGCAGCAGAAGTAGTGTTGTTGTATTGTTACTGTGGTGGTGGCTGTTATGGTTATTCCTGTTTCTTGATGTGGTGGTGGTGGTGGCGGATGTGGTGGCACTTTTTTCTCACGGATGTCGTTGCTGCTGGTGGTGTTGCTGACGGCTGCTGTTCACTCAGAAATAACTGCTGGCCAAATAGAGATGCCGAGGACACAAAGTCGTGCCACTTTGAACTCGAATTAGCAAGACAGAGAAATACCCCAGGGCATCATTTGGAGAAAACATATTTTATTTCAAAGCTCATGAATACAAACGGCGTGTGGGTAGAACTATTTGTACTGGGCGTGAATTAAGTGGTTGGGTAGTTCGGGTAAAGCGACATGTTGTAGCCTGGGAATTCTTTCATGTATACATTACGTTTATCCTGCTATTGTAGTTCAAACTTTCCAACGTACATATATTATGCGGATGGTTTTCCTTTTCGTTTTCCTTGAGAAAAGAGAAACAGGACTGAACTGAAACACACACACACACACACACACACACACACACACACACACATACACACACACACATACACAATGCGTCTTTCTCGTAACAGAACTGAAAAGGCTCAATAAGCCACTTGAAGTATGACTTCTCCTTTACAAATCCATCGACACTATTTAGATAATTCAGGAGGCGGGTTGCTTTGACCCTGGCTGTCAAGGCCGAAAAAGATACAAAGTCCCAGAAAAACCGAGATACTCGACGAAAATTCTCTAAAACTTCTCCTTCAAGGACAAAGAGGAAGATGACAATAATTCTTTCAGGACATAACTTATATGACCCCACATAAAAACGACAAGTTCTGAATCCAAAATTTAGGAAATATCATGCCCTAAAACTGTTAAGAAAGGACCTATGGTAGAACTTCGTCCGCGCCATGCATTATGCATCAAGGCACAGAGAAGCCAGCGTTAAGTCTAGGAGCTTTGCGGAAGCAGAAGTCAGAAGTGACTTAGTGGGTCATTATGCAGACGTCGCTGGGAAATAAAATAGCGGTAATCATTACATTAAACTGTTCTCCGAGATAGCGGAGGCATATAATTCCTCCATTGGCTTTGTCCTGAAGGCGGCATTTATACCGTACAGCGGCGCGACAAAAATTAGGCATAATTAAGAAGCATTGTTGTATGGAGTAGATCTAGTTCTCAGAGTGGAGGCGCCTACTTCCAGTCCTCCTTCGACACCTTACGATTTATACAGAA